GATGAAAGTGAACAGAGCAAAAATTTATTTTCCATTTAAAAGTAGTACATATTTTGCTTAATGACATTAATTACAATACCCACATTGCAACTGTAATTTTCTTATGTATCTTTCTGTTTTCTTTCTCTTTACTGATATTGTACTAATCATCCCCTTTTACTTACCTCAATATGTGTATTTCATCTATTTAATGAATTTTTATTTTCCTCCTCTCTCTCCTCTCAACGGCAAATTACAACAACAACTCTCACTTCTAGTTGTCAAGAAAAATGCTTCCGTGTTTCTAACCTTTATTTAGCTTTTATTTTTAGTGGACTCATAAAATGTTTGTCCTTTTGTAATTGCAATTTCACTCTGCAAAACATTCTCAAGAGCCCTGGTGGCATTGAATATTATGTGTTTGATTAGGAGTTTGTGTCTAACAACTGCTCTGTGAGAGAAAGCTGGGCTAACTTCTCTAGCAAAGATTTACAGCCTTGGAAATCAGTGCAATGACTGTTTAAAAATATTTATATAATCTTTAAAAGGATTTATTTTTTTTTCTTTAAAAGGATTTAAATGAATGCTATTTTAATTCAAGAATATGAAAAGGAGTGAAAATAATTATATAGATATTTTCTAATTAATTTAGCATCCTGTTGAATAAAAGTGTAATTATGCCTGAACCCAATTATGTGATGTTGCTTCCTTAAAGCCATGACAAAACTGTAACTCCATATGGAGCTAAAAGACAAAAACCAGTGCTGCTAAGTCAATTCTAATTCATGGTGACTCTATGCATGTTAGAATAGAACTTTGCTCCATAGTTTTAATTGGCTGGTTTTTGGGAAGGAGATAGCCAGGCATTTCTTCTAAGGTGTTCTTAAACTTCCAACCTTTGTTTTAGCAATCATTAATTGAACAATTTTTGCTGTTACATGTTATCGAGTTGATTATGACTCATAGCTACTCTAAGAACAATAGATTAGAACTTTGCCCTATCACGAGCCAATCTCACTGTCTCTGACACACTTGCTCCCATTGCCATAGTCACTGTGTCAATTCATCTCATTCAGAGTTGTTCACTCCTCCACCCTTCCCAGCATGATGTCCCTCTCTAAGGACAGGTTCCTCTTGGTCCAAAGTATGTGAGATGGAGCTTCAAAATCCTTGCCTCTAAGAGCAACCTGGTTTCACTCTCTCCACAACAGACCTATTTGTTCTCTTGGTAATTCATGGTTTGTTTAGTAATCTTCTACAGAACCACAATGCAAAGGCCTTGATTCTTCTTTGTCATCCTTAGTCATTGTCCTATTTTCCAATGGATAGCAAGTAATTCTGAAGAACATGGCATGGACCAGGTGTACCTTAGTCTCTAGACTGACATTGTTGCAATTTAGCATTCTGGAGAGGACCCACAAAGCAGACTTTCCCAAATAACTCTTCTTTTGATCTTCTTAATGCTAGTGCCAATGGTGTTGATTATGGATCCAAGCATGATGAAATTATTAACAACCTCTATCTCTTCTCCATCTATCATGATGCTACCAATTGTCTTTGTAGTTAGAATATTTTGTTGAAGTTGAATTGCAATCCATATAGAAGATTTAAATCTTTGATCTTCTGCAGCAAATGTTTCAAGTCCTCCTCTGTTTTGGCAAGCAAGGCTGTGCCATCTGCATAATGCAGGTTGTTGATAAATCTTCCTCCAATCCTGATGCCATATTCATCTGCATAAAGTCCAACTTCCTGAATGAGCTGTTCCATATATGGATTGAAAAGGTATGGAGAAAGGACATATCCTTGACTCAATGCTTTCTTGATTTTGAAACATCTAGTGTTTCCTTCAGATTGGAAAAGCTATGGAAGGCACACCAAAGAAATAATTCACCATGACCAAGTGGAATTCATAACAGGTATGCAAGGATGGTTCAACATAAGGAAAACGATTAATGTAATTCATCAAGTTAAAAAAGAACAAGAACTACATGATTCTATCAATTGATGCAGAAAAGACCTTTGACAAAATCCAACACCCTTTCCTGATTAAAACACTCAACAAAATAGGATTAGAGGGGAATTCCTTCAACATAGTAAAAAGTATGCAAACCCGAGAGCCAATATTGTTTTCAATGGAGAGAAGTTAAAGGCATTCCCTTTAAAAACAGGAACTAAGCAAAGATGCCCACTATCATCTCTCTTATTTAATATTGCTTTGGAAGTCTTAGTGATAGCAATACGACAAAAGAAAAGAATAAAATGTATCCAAACTGGCAAAGAGGAGATAAAATTATCTCTCTATGCAGATGATATGGTAGTATACTTAGAAAAGCCTAAAGACTCAGCAAGAAAACTATTGGACACAGTGGACTAATTTAGCAAAGCGGCAGGATACAATATCAACAAACAAAAATCAGTTGGATTTCTGTACAGTGACAAAGAGAATAGAGAGCCAGAATTAAGAAAAACAATACCCTTCACAATAGCTAATCACAAGATTAAATACATGAGAATAAATTTAACCAGAAGCACAAAGGATCTATTAAAAGAAAATTACAAAACATTACTACAAGAAACAAAAAGAGACCTTGAGAAGTGGAAGAATATCCCTTGCTCATGGATAGGAAGAATCAATATTGTGAAAAAATGGCAATACTACCAAAGGCAATTTACACGTTTAATGCAATCCAAATACAAATACCAATTCCATTCTTCAATGAGATGGAAAAGGCAACCTCCAGCTTCATTTGGAATGGAAAGCAGCCCCAAATAAGCAAATCACTCCTTAAAAATAGAAAAAAGGTAGGAGGTATCTCACTCCCTGATTTCAAATCCTACTATATTGCTGTGGTGGTAAAGAGAGCATGGTACTGGTACAATGACAGACACATGAACCAATGGAGTAGAATTGAGAACCCGGATATCAGCCCACCTATCTATGGTCAACTGATTTTTGACAAGGAGATGAAGTCAGTTAAGTGGGGAAATGATAGCCTTTTTAACAAATGATGTTGCCAAAATTGGAAAAGTATCTGCAGAAGACTCAAGCAAGATCCACACCTCACTCCATATACAAAAACCAACTCTAGGTGGATCATGGACTTAGGACTAAAACCAAGGACTATAAAACTTCATTAAAGAAAAGCTAGGAACAACATTAATCCACAATATAAATAGTCTTCCAAGTATCCTAAAAAACCTACAACCAGGAGAAGATAAAAAAGATGAATGGGATTTTCTAAGAATCAAATTTCTATGCACATCCAAAAACTTCTCCAATAGGGTAAAAGGGAAGCCACCAACCGTGAAGAAGTATTTGATAGTGACATATCAGATAAGGGACTTATATTCAGAATTTATAAAATACTTGAGCACCACAACAAGATAAATAATCCAATAGAAAAATGGGCACAGGATATTAATAGACACTTCACCAAAGAAGACATTCAGATGGCTAACAAGCACAAGAAGAAATGTTCAAAATCCCCAGCTCTAAGAGAGATGCAAATGAAACAACTATGAGATATCATCTCACCCCAGTCAGAATAGCAAAATTTAACAGAACAACAAGCAACAAATGCTGGTGAGGTTGTGGAGAAACTGGAACCCTTATTCACTGTTGGTGGGAGTATAAAATGGTGCAACCACTGTAGAAAGCAGTATGGCACTTTCTCAAAAAGTTGAAAATAGAGATAACATTTGACCCAGCAATTCCACTACTAGGAATATACCCCAAAGAGACCTTAACTGACATCCAAGCAGATATAGGCACACCATGTTTATTGCAGCTTTGTTCATAATAGCAAGCAGTTGGAAACAACCTAAGTGCCCATCAACAAATGAATGGATAGAAAAGCTGTGGTATATGCACACAATGGAATACTATGCTGCATTGAAAAACAAAGAACTCATGCAACATTATTCAAAATGGGTGACCCTGGAGGATTTTAGGCTGAGTGAAGTATCTCAGTTACAAAAGGACAAATACTGCATGGTGCCACTGTTGTAAAACAGTACTGACATCGGGGTTGGAGGGAAACTGAGAAAGATGGGTTCAATAATGCATACTGCATTGAAACAGATGAGGGAGAAAGTCGTTTAAAAGGGATATATGATTAGATATTTTTGTCATGACAGGAATCCAGAGCGAAGGCTGCAAAGTGGAGTGGACCTGGGGGGAGGCATTGTATAACAATGAAAGAATTTTTCTTTTACTTTTCCAAGAGGGTAGTGTACTGTTGGGGGGAGCATTGGGAGGGGAGAAAAGTGCAACAATGAAGAATGGAAATCCAAAGTCTCTGTAAATTTTCCTTGAAATTAATAATAAGTTTATTTTTAAAAAAGAAGGGGGGAGAAAGGCATTCTTCTTCTATGCAATTTAAAGCCTCAGGTAACTAGCTGGAGGGTCAACAATGAGTCAGCACTGACTCAGTTGCAATGACACTGCCTTCAGATGTTTTAGTTTTAATATATAAAGTGATAATTGTTGTTGTGTCTTTTAGACATTGGAACCAACTCATAACTGACTCTCCAGTGAGTTTTTAGAGTCAGAATATCACACAGGATTTAGTAAGCAGGAAGGTTTTCTGAGTCAATGAATCACACAGGAGATTGCCTGTCTTCCCCTCATGGAGCAGCTGGTGGATTCAAACTGCAAGCCTTTGGAATTGCAGCACAGGTTCTTACCATTAAGCCACTTAAATTTCTGAAGGCATGCAGTTTGAATCCACCCACAGCTCTGTGGTAGAAAGATGCTGTGCTATTAACTGTCTCTTAAAACTGGCCACAAGGTCAGCAATAGGTCAGTTTCAACTTGATGGTACACAACATCAACAGTATATAAATTATGAGCTCTGTTTCTCTGGAGAACACTAATACAGTATGAAAACATGAAATAAGAATAATATGCATATTGACCTCCCAATCACAGTCACCAGACCATGCTTCTTCAGAACATTTTGCCACTTTGGGTAAGCTAATAATCCAATGAAATGGAGCTGATAAGAAGGCACTATACTTACCAATGAGATACATGCCAATCCAGTCTCCAGCATCTACTTCCTCCTTTATGTCCCAGTGGATCACCAGATCTTGTGAATGTCCTATGGAATAGTAGGAGGTGCTGACCATGAGAGTGGAGCGGCTATCTGAGGTGACCAGGTCAGTGTCACTGGTGGAGCGAGGAAGAGTGACAGGGTCATGTGGACTATTCCTGATATCCACATTGTGGAACTGGTCAGGGTTGTAGCTGTAGCGGAGTGGTTCCTTGCAGCGACGCCGGCTTTGTGAGTTCCTAGATGGAGATGCCATGGCAGCCAGGCCCAAAAACCTGTTCTGGTAGAGATTCTGTGGGGGCAAACAGACAAACATCAGGTTAAGAGATGTCAATAATGAAAGGTTTTCTGGAAGAAATGAGCCACTAGTAACCTTCTATCCTACACAAATCTGAAACAAGATAATGAATTTCCACTTCATGATGGAATCCAGGTTCATACTGGAAGAAAAAAAGTACAGATCCATTAAGGGTTCATATATTTCCATACACTGGTGTGGTCTCTGTCTCTCCAATGTCCAGTTAAATTAACTGGTATTAAAAGGGCTGGAATATGTATAGAATGGCCTCAAAATAGTACCTCCAAAACATTATTTCTTTAATTGCCCCAAATAAATTTAATTGTATCTTCCTCTAGGGTAAATGATGATGATTATTACTGAACACTCTAGGTGTCTCTGAAGCATTCAAGTCCCTACATGTGTATATGTGTACACACAGCTTGGAATGAGAGAGAATCCTGTTGAGTGAGCTAGTCATTCTTCTCCATTTAGAACTTTCACTTACAGAACACATATAGATTGTGTCCAGATTCAATTAGACATTTCAGATCTTCAAATAATCTTTCTTGAATACTGCATTTTAATAAAATTCAATTGAAATGGCTATCTTTTCATTGGAGCCAATGTTATTGTAGAAAACATCACACTTGATGTGTAAAAAAGAGCAAGTCTACTACTTAAAGCAGAGAGAATGAGCTGAGCTGATGCAGAGCAATAACATGATTTTTGAGATAAAGATTACTTTAAAACTAGAGAAGGAAGGGAATCACAGAGATGTGTAAAAGGTATCATTCTGAAAAGAGCAAAGCAATTCTGCTTTCATCTAACAATACTAAAATCTGAATTTGAATGCATAAATATAGGTGTCTTAGTTTTAAATGTTAATATTTTCTAGCAACTAATAATATTTTCATTTTAAAGAAGAGAAAATTAAAACCAGAAAAGTATTTCATTATGCAGTATATGTTCCAGAAATAATAACAACAACATGCAGGTTGTTGACTTTTTGTTTACCATTGGTACCAGATCCCAGAATTAAATATTTTAATTATATAAACTTACCAGTATATTGTTATTATTGTTGTTAAGTGCCATCAAGTCATAGATGACTCATAGCGACCTTATGAATGAAAGACCTGAACACCTATATAAATTTTGTTATTTCTCCAAGTTCATAGGTTTTCCTGAGGCAAGCTATTTTGGAAGTGGATGCCACTCCTGCTTCCAGGCTTGTTTTAATTGGAGAGCTCCACCAAACATTGTCCATCATGGGTAACCATTGTCACATTTGACACATCAGTGTCACAGTGTTCAGCATCACAGCAACCATGGGTTACCTCTATAATACAGCAAATGCACAGGGATGTGCTATGCCACTTAGAAGAATGTTTGACCAAAACCTATTAAAACCACTAGAACCAAATCCATTGCCATGGAGCTGATTCTCGCTTAAAATGACCCTCCTTTGGATTCCCAAAGCTGTAAACTGTAACTGGAGGGAACTACTCATCTTCCTCCCTTGGAGCTGATGTTAAATAAAAAAAAATGCTACAAATTTTACCACCAGAGTGTCTTAAAAAGTCTATTAACCAGCTAAGTGTGGTGTTGCATTCTGAGTCTCAATCCTTAATCTTGTGGCAGGCATTTTCATTCATTATTTATGATTCTTATTAAAAGCTCTGCTGTTGATAAATGTGGCATTAGTATGTGCAGAAAAGGTACACATTAGAAAGCATCTCATAATACTAATTATTCCATATGTCCTATTTTTATATAGGACATATTTTTTTAAATATTCTTGTCACTACAATGGCATGAAAATAGATTATATGTTGCCTGAAAACCAGACTTCCTCTCAGAAAGATAGGCCAAGTGATTGAGTCCACGGACAGTCTGCTCCGCTCACAAGTACTACAGTAATTCTGGGTAAGATGACTAGGAGTTTGGAGGAAATTAACCATCTTTCTTTTGGTATTCTTTACTTTCAGCCAGGATCAACCTGACATCAACAATATTCCTAGTACCATAGCAGCTTCTAAATCCTGTTTGAAATTCTGGAAATTCCCTATCAATACTATTCAAGCTGTTTTAAATGATCTTCAGCAGTATTTTGCTTGCATGTGATAGTAATGATATTGTTCGATAGTTTCCACACTTCACCTCACATACTTCAGGTATATTGCTAGGAAGGGCTATTCCTTGGAGACGATTGGCAAAGGAAAGGAAGTCCCTCAACCAGATGGATTGACAATAGTGACTGCTGCAATGGGCTCTAGTGTCTCAGAAAGTGTGAGAATGGCACAGAGTAGAACAGAGGTCAGATTTGTTGTTCATAGGGTATGGGTTGTACTAGACTCAATGACACCTAAAAACAACAACAATAACCATTATTCAGGGAATCAATGGTGGTGTAGTACACAGGGAGTTGGATTGCTAACCCCAAAGCCATACCTTGTTGGTGGTTCAAATCTACCAGCAGCTCTATGGAAATAAGAAGGACAATCTTCTGTGAGACCAACAGCCTCTGAAAACATCCTGGAGAGTTACCTACAAGTTAGTTACAACTCAGTGACAATGAGTTATAGTTATTTTGAGTTTGAACTATTTTTGAGGGAGCCACAATAGATTGAAACACTCCTACTTATGCACAAAATATATCTTGGAATCCTAGTCCATATACTTGTGGATATGATCTGCTTTGGAAGAAAATATCTTTAGTTATGATAATTAGATGGTAACCAAAACACAAGTAGCTGCAGGAAAGACAGAGGCCAGGTGAGGATCATGTGAGAATGGCAGAGTCTGACTTCTACTAACTCCACAAAGGAGAAATGTTCCCATCAACAAAATTCACAGTACAAAACGAATTCCTTTAAAGTCAGACATAGTCTCATGTTCTTGCACATGTCGTTGTGTTGTTGTTGTTGTTATGTGCTGTTGAGTAGCTTGCGACTCATAGTGACGCTATGTACAAACAGCCCTAAACGCTGCTCCGTCCCGTGCCAATCACACTGTCTCCGACACACCCATCCTGATTACCCCAGTCACGGAATCAATCCACCTCATAAAGGGCCTTCCCCTCCTGTGCTGTCTCTCCACCCTCCCAAGCATGATGTCCTTCTCCAAGGACCAGTCCTTCCTTATAACATGTCCAAAGTATGTTAGACGGAGCCTCAGAATCCTTGCCTCCAAGGAACTGCCTGCTTTAACCCTCTTCAGGATGAATTTGTTTGTTTTCCTAGCAGTTCCTGGTACCCTCAACACTCTTTTCCAGCACCAGAGCTCAAAGGCATCAATTCTCCTTCTGTTCTCCCTAGTCATTGTCCAACTCTCTGATGCATAACACGTGATTGCAAAGACTATGGCCTATATCAAAAGTGCCTTAGTCTCCAGAGAGACAATATTACTCTTCAGTACTTTGGAGAGGTCCCTAACAGCAGACTTTCCCATGGCAATACATCTTTTAATTTCTTGGCTACTGGTGCCAAGACTGTTGACTGTGGAGCCAAGCAAACTAAAGCTGTGAACAATCTCAATCTCTTCACCATCCATCCTGATGCTGCCAATTGGTCCAGTGGTGAGAATCTTTGTCTTCCTGACATTGAGCATCAATCCATATTGAAGGCTACAGTCCTTTACCCTCTGCAGCAAGAGCTTCAGGTCCTCCTCAGCTTCAGCAAGCAGGGTTGTGTCATCTGCATAACACATATTGTTGATAGATCATCCACCAATCCTGATCCCACATTTCTCCTCATAGAGCCCAGCCTCCTGGATAATCTGTTCTGCATACAGGTTGTAAAGGTATGGAGACAGGACACATCCCTGGTGTATGTCCGTCCCAATTTTGAACCATTCAGAGTTTCCTTGCTCTGTTCAACACCAATCCTGCTGCTTTATTGGGTCCAAAATCTACTGCAATGACTACACAGATTTTAAAAAACCGTATTCACTGTTACAAGGTTTATTAGGAAACTTAACAGGCTATAATGTAGGTTGTTGGCAGAATACAATCTCTCAGTCAAAACATCTTTTCTCAAGCTTGGTCATAGTCCCTTTGACTTTTAACCTCATGGATTAGGTCAGTGTTATAAAGTTCCCTTAGTCTTGTGAGTTATGATGTCTTCTCTCAGTTCTCCAGCAAGCTTGGGTGAAGACCTCTGGCTCTGGATCCATAAGGCAGCAGTCCCAAGACAGGTCTGTATAATGACCATGTCTTGCTTTTGAATGAGGCTGCTCTTATATAGATCCTGGTCTGGCTGATACAGGCATCTCTGTCCCCACAGGGCTTGTGCTGCTTCTTCTTCCTTGTTGATGTTGAGATTCCCAACTTCTGCCACTTAATCCACTCAATTTAGCTGTGAGACTAGTGAATTCCCTTGTGGACAAACAGACCCTATATGTATGATCCTGCCTATCCATGTGGCAAAGTACAAATCAAAAGTTAGAAAAGTAATTTTGAAGACTAAACTCTTGACACCACACTATTATAAGACTTGAAAGCTACTTATAATTATATATTGTTGTTGTTGCTATGTACTCTCAAGTTGTCTCAGCCTCATAGCAACCCTATGTGCAACAGCTCTGAACCCTGCTCTGTCCTGAGCCAGGCTCATTGTCTCTGACACACTTAGACCCATTACCCCAGTCTGTGATTCAATCCATCTCATCAAGGGTTTTCCTCTCTAGCACTGTCCCTCCACCCTCTGATGTCCTTCTCCAAGGACTGATTCCTCCTTGCAACATGCCCAAAGTATGCCAAATGGAGCTACAGAGTCCTTGCCTCCAAGAAGCAGTCAGGTTTCACCATCTCTAGTGCAACCCAGATCCAAAGAGGAGAAAATAGATGGTTTCTATCAACTTTTGCAGTTAGAAATATATCTAACATGCAACCAACATGCATTAATGATAATGGGTGACTGGAATGCAAAAGTTGGGAACCAGGAAGAAGGGTCAGTAGTCGGAAAATATGGACTTGGTGACAGAAATGAGGCAGGGGATAGAATGATAAA